GTGACATAAATTTTATAATAGCTTTTTAAAGGTATAATTCACATATCACAAAATTTAAATTGGCTTATTCTCTGATTTTCTTCTAAGAAGATGACAAAAACTGTCCATTTGCAAAATGTCATGGAGAAGTCTTTGTCAGAAATCCACTTCTTGTACATTTAGGACTTTGTAGAACTATAAGGTATTTCATGGAGTGTCTAGATTACCCCTTGTGCGTTCCTATTTTTTTTCTTCTTTTTTTAAACTCGATATCCAAACAAAACATGCACGGATTTTATTAATTCTACTTCAAAATTGACTTCACATTTGGCCAGTCCTCACCTTCTCCATGGCTACCACAATAGCCTTAAATGCCATCTTCTCTTGCCTCAACTAGTTTGGGGAATAAGGTGCCCAATAACAACTGTAAACCACCTTCCCTAAAAGGGAGACAGGTTCTGGGGGTTGGCTGTTGAGAGCTCCTGTTGGGGAGATATAAATATCTATATGTCTAATCCACTAGTTTGGCCATAGAGTGTATAAGGGAGAATATATGTCCCTTTTATCCTGGTTCCTGTTTTCTCTTAAATGGTTCTCGGACACCTGAGTTACCTCTCTTCGTCTATTCCTGAACTCCTACAGTTAATTCTCCACTTACAAAAGTCATTATCTAAAATAAGTTAAATCAGGTCACTTCCTGGCTCAAAATCTTCCAATGGTTTCCTAGCCCTGGACCCTGCCTGTCTTGCTGCCACAGCTCCTAGCCCTCAATGATCCACCCTCTCTGTTCTAGTTCCCTTGTTTTATTTTGGGGGTTTGAGTATATTAAGATCATGCTTCAGGGTCTTTGCATTCATTGTCCTTTTACCTGGCAAGGAAATAATCTTTATTCAAATATTTGCTAGGTTAGTTCCCTCATCCAGATCTCTGCCCTCAATATTTCCTCATCAGAACGGGTCTCCCTTAGCCATCAGGCTCTGATTTTTGATTTAGTTCTCATAAATTTCAAAACTATTTAATTAATTGAAGTGTTTACTTCAATTGTCTTTCTCTAGGATCCTGCCAATCTACTTTACTGCTGTACAGCTGGCCACTCAAGCAGTGTAGAATCTCAATATTTTCTGGTAGAAATCATTTGGGTGAATCAATTTTATAGATGAAGAAACAAGTTCAGAGTGGGGAGGGTAGGTCAGTAGCAGAAACAGGACAGAAGAGCAAGATTTCTAGCAGACGAGTTAGAAAGACCACGTTCCATTCTCCCCCCACCCCATATTACATAAACCGGGTTCTTTTTCAACATCAGCGCCTCATTTTAAGAAAGTTATAGCATTTTAACACTACAGCACACTCTAGCTTACCCCTTCATTTCTTTCTTTCTTTCTTTCTTTCTTTCTTTCTTTCTTTCTTTCTTTCTTTCTTTCTTTCTTTCTTTCTTTCTTTTTTTAAAGATTTCTTTTATTTGTGCATACAAGAGCTGGGGTGCAGGCCAAAGGTGTGGGTGAGAGGATTCACCAGAGACAGAGTGGGGAGCAGAACAGGCAGATGTACTGAAATACACTGCTGAGGGGAGCAGCAGGCTAGACAGGAGAGGTCTGCTCGGCCATGTGGGTTAGCTCCCTGGCTGGAAATCGAACTCATGCTGCTGAAGTTGCGAATAGCTTCATAGTGCTATGCTTAACTCCTTATGCCACCAGGGAGGCCCCTTACCCCTTCATTTCTTGAAACTTGAACTCAGTGATCATCGGGGCTGGAAGGGCTCACAAAGCTACTTATTGAGCCTTTTATTTTGCAGAAGAGGAAACCATGGCCCAGAGAGGGTGTCACAGAGTTGAATGAGAAGCCAGGTCTCTGGACTCCCAGACCAGACAGCTTTTACTTCCCTGAATTGCTTAATATTGAATGCCTATGCCTGTTCACAAATTTTACACTTTCCTGATCAAATGAGTTTCTACTCCTCACATTGACAGGTAGTTCACCTCCAAATGTACATTCCACCAGGGAGGTAGGGAACATACATGTCCTGGCTAGACGGGTTGCACAGGGAAGATGCTTGGATGCCTTTCAGAGTGCTAGTGTCCTAGCAGAAGTCTGTTCAGCCAGGTATCTTTGGATACCTTCAGCCAGGTATCCATCCAGAGAAGAATTTCTAATGTGGGGCTACATTCTCCCTCTGACCTTGCTGCTTCCTGCCTGTGTGCCCTGGTGCAGGGCACTTAGATTCTTGGGACCTCTGTTCTCTGTGAGATGGGGCTAGCACACCCTCATGTGCTGGATGAGAATGTCTTTTGTGAACACTCCTCCACTCTGCCCCCCTGCCCCTGCATTAAGGATGAGGGGAGGTGGTTTCTGGTGACCAACATCAGGAAAAAAAGTCCCCTGGTACAACCAGGAACCACTTTCCCCTCCCAGCCTTTGGGACATGGGAAAGACGTCTTGGAGGGTTGACTATAGAAGACTCAGGTTGAGGAAGTTGGAAGCACTTGTATGCTAAACCAACCTTTATGCAAAATTTGATGACTTGATATATAAGGAAGAATTTGTGCTCACTTTTGTCCTGGCTCCACTTCTCTCTTTGGTGGTACTTAGACTCCTAACAATGCAAGGATTATAAAACAAAATAAAACAAAAAAATTCATCAGTCATTTAATCCATGGCCTCAGCCCTTTAGCAGGGATGAGAGAGAGACAAACAGACCTTCTAATTCCTAAGTAGATATTAAGACAGGTAACAATCATGAAGATTCTTGGTGAGACAGTTGACAAGGAAGGAAGCAGAAAGGGAAGAAGAAAGTCAAAACAGGGAGACTAATGGCACACACTGCGACTGATATTGGTCAGGCCTGGTCGGAAAGGAAGACGTGCAGATAAGTCTAGGAAAAAGCCAGATGGATAAGGCATGGAAGTGGGGCAGGAGTCTGGAGAAGGATGAAAAAGATCTCCCAGAACAGAGCAAGATGTGGGGCTGCAATTTGTTCTTTGACTGGATCTTGTTTTAGGAAAACTCTCCTCTATTCAGTGGTGTTACCAAAGGTGGAGGAGATGTGAGATCAGTCAGGGGCTCCTCAGGACAGTTGGGCTGACATAACTGGACTAATTCAGGGGTTATGGAGGGTTCAATGAATATACAGAAAATAATATGTATTTCCTGAGGTTGGGTTTTACAACCCCAGATTTATTGTGTTTTCAGACTTTTTTTTTAAAGATTGATTGATTGATTGATTGATTTATACAAGCACTGGGTACAGTCAGAAGCATGGGAGGGTGAGAGAATTCACCAGAGCCAGAGCCGGGAACAGAACAGGCAGACCGACAAAACACACTGGTGAGGGGAGCAGCGGGCGGCAGGAGAGGTCTGCGTGCCATGTGGGACACTTGCCGGTGGCCGGGGATTGAACCGGTGCTGCAGAGGCTGTGGGCAGCTTTGCAGCCCAGTGCTCAACCACTGCGCCACCAGGGGAGGCCCCAGACTATTTTTAATGTCATTTTTTGTGCTTAGCCTTGCTGATTTGCCCAGTCGGGAAACTTGAGCATTCTTGGCTGTGTGTTCTCTCACTGCCTTGGCTTACGGACACAAGGAAGTGGCAACACTTATCCAAACGTTCAGGACCTGTCTTGCCGCTCAATATTTTGCTTTTGATCTAAGTACTGAAAATGCATACATGATGTATGGCTAGTGACAGAATGGGCCAAGTTCCCTGCTTCACTTGGTTTTTGGAGATACATCTTTTAAAACCTTTTTATGAACTTGAAGGTCATAAAGTGGCAGCCATTGGAAAGCTTGCAAAGATCATTGAGTCCTTGATAGAATTTTAGTTAGCCCTTTCTTGATAATGAATTATTTTGAAACAAACAAACCAAAAGCTTCTGGAACTCTTATCTGAACAGCAAACATCTAATCAGAATGATCACAACAAGAATCCTAAGACAGCTTGTCTTAAATACTCATCCTTCCTATGTGTGTGGTGGGTAGGGGGTCTGCTGGATCTAAGGGTCTGCTGTTCCTTTCTGCACACACAGACACACAACAGTGGTCATATATGTTTTGGGAATTCCTCAAATTTGCATGTCCTGACTGGGAGTCCCAGACCTAATCCTGCTCCTACCAGCCAGGATCCTAATAGGAACCTCTGAGTTGACTGAAAAAATTCTGGCCTTGGAAAGTGGAGGACTCTCCTGTCTCCCACTGAGCAATCTATGAGCCATAGCTCTCTCTATTTGTAGGTATCAGTGATTTAAACTCTGAACTAGATGGTTTCTAACATTGCGTTCTTCCAGTTCCAAGTTTTTAAGGACCATCAGGAAATCAATCTCACTTTAAATGCATTTTTTTTTTCCTGATGGTAGAAAGGCAGCTAGATCAGAAATCTCTTAGTTGCTGAGAAAAGGGGATAGAGGATGAGCTTAGGGTGCCTTCCCTGCTTTAGAGGAAAAAGTGAAGTTCTTTTACATTCCCATTACATCTTAATCTATAAGCCTGTTGACAAAGACAATGGAGAAAGAGATAGCTCAGTCCCTGCAACATTCACATTCCATTCTTGAATCTGTTCTTATAGGAATGATTCTGAATCTTCACAGGCTTACACATATACTTTTAATTTTTTTTGGCCCAAGTAAAATGTTTGAATATGATGATAGATAAAATTGTCTGGATACCTTGATGTGTACGCATCTATGTATGTAAGTGCATTTATTTGCCCTTTCGGGGGCTGAGGGAACGTCTGTGTGTAATTGAGCATGCACATGTGCATATGAGTGAAAATCCGGAATGTGTATGTGCATAGCGCTGAGGGAATATAAAAGACTGTGTCGTTAGTGTGATGTGTGTGGAGTCAATTATGGGGGCCTGTGCGCGTGCAGGTTTTTTCTTTTTTTTTTTTTTAAGTAAACAACTTTGGATTGTGTAGCCTCCTCTCACTTCTGTGATTGATTTCACGAAGGTAATGATGCGTAAAAGCGCTGGTGAGATCTGGGGGCGCCTCCTAGTCTGACGTCAGAGAGAGTGTTTAAAAGGGGGACGAGCACACAAGCCGCTTTAGGAGTCGCGAGGTTCAGAGCCTTCGCTGCTGCCTGCGTTTCCGCTCCTAGAGTTTGACAAACCGTCTTTCTCGCTTGGCTCCCCGGCGCCACCGAGATGCTGTCCTGCCGCCTTCAGTGCGCGCTGGCCGCGCTCTCCATCGTCCTGGCTCTGGGCGGTGTCACTGGCGCACCGTCGGATCCTCGACTCCGTCAGTTCCTGCAGAAGTCCCTGGCTGCTGCCGCGGGGAAGCAGGTAAAAATACTCTGTCTTCTTTACACTTTCTCGAATCCCCAACCTTCCTTAAGCCTTCCCCCTGCCCTTTTGGGTGGACTTAAGAGGTGGTTCTGAGGAGTTGCAGTGTTTTTCTGTGTCCCTCAGCTCCCAAAACCCTCAGGAAAACTTTTTAAGTCCAGAATCTCCTTTTATGTTTCTCTCTCTCTGTGTGTGTGTGTGTCTTTCTGACCAGCGCAGTCGATCACATTCAGGTGAGTCCTTTGGCATTCAAGGAAATCGCAAGACCTGGGTCATTGAGTTCAAAGATGACATCTATCCCCGGTACTGAAAGTGCTGACCCAGGTGCTGAAAGCTCAGAACTCTGAAACTGGCACCCTCTTAAGCAGAGCTTCCCTCCTAGGCAGCGGATTTGGGGGCTAAAGGGCACTCTATAGATGGAACACAATATGTTTACTAATATGGAAGGTCTGGTTCCCCATAGGTGACTTTGTAAAAATGGTAAGAAGAATTCCAATTTACAGCTCATGATATGGAAATTGAGTTAAACTGTTGGCACATGTTTAATCTTTGCAGAACTGTCTTAACGATCTGCTTTTCTCTCTCTCTCTCTCTCTCTCTCTCTCTCTCTCTCTCTCTCTCTCTCTCTCTCTCAAGTCTTCAGAGGTAGAAAACTTGATTTCAGTTTTTAACTATTTTTGTGTAACTTGGTGATTATAACAATTTCACTTATTTTTAGATTTTTAACTGATTATAAGTGTGAACCAAAAAATGCACAGCTGTGAAAATTGGGTTTTGGGTATGGGGTGAGTCTATTTTCAAGCCTGAGATTTTAATTTCTTCTTCTCTATCATTGCCCTCTCTCTCTCTCTCTCTCTCTCTCTCTCTCTCTCTCTCTCTCTCTCTCTCTCTCTCTTTCTCCCCCAACACACACCCCATATAGGAACTGGCCAAGTATTTCTTGGCAGAGCTGCTGTCTGAACCCAACCAGACAGAGAATGATGCCCTGGAACCTGAAGATCTGTCCCAGGCTGCTGAGCAGGATGAAATGAGGCTGGAGCTGCAGAGATCTGCTAATTCAAACCCAGCCATGGCACCCCGAGAACGCAAAGCTGGCTGCAAGAATTTCTTCTGGAAGACTTTCACATCCTGTTAGCTTTATTAATTATTCTTGTCCAACCTCTGATTACTCTCCTCCAAGCTCCATTTCTCTCCCCTAATGACCCCAATCCTCAACAATACCCTTACATTAGGAATTGAAGTCTGTAAATACAAAATAAAATTATGGTGAAATTACTGAAAACAAGAATTTGATTTTTTATTGAGTAATCCTTTTCGTTAAATCATACATGATTAATGTCAGTTGTCATTACAGATGATTTGTTCGAGATATACACTCCAAATCACAAGACATACTATTTAAAATTCTCTGGGGGTAATAAAAGGGTATGTTTTAAAGGGTGACCCTTATGATTTAGATCATTTCAAACTTAAATAATTTCAAATGCTATGATTTTTATCTTTAATCCAGTGATTATCTGGGTCTTTTATCTTTTAATCCATATTGGAATGAACTACCACAAGCATCAATTACACAGACTAAATACACTGAAAATCATACATGTGTTGAAATGGGTATCAGTATTTATGGATAGATACATTGAAATGTCTGAATAATTAGCAGGCTGGTGTGTAAAATATATAACATGAAAAAGGGAAGGAAACAAAAATTCTAAAATTGGTGTAATGAAGCCGGTGTACATAGCTAAAAAAAGAGAATATTCGCTTCTACTTTGTGAAAATTTATGTATAGAGGCACCATTGCTTTTATATCTTATTTGACAATCCTCTCTGCAAATGAACAAGGCTAAATTATTGCCTCTGTTTTATAAGTAAGCTCCTAAAATTTTTTCTCGGGGGGGAAATATTTTAAATATGAGATTCCATCATGAGTGTTACATGGGTTGCAAGAAATGTGTTGTCTCTTCAGTGAATGTTATACTATTTAAGGCATCAAAACACAATATCATAATCACAGAATAACTAAAGGAGAGATTTCAAGTCTTGATTTTAATAAACTGGGAATCAAATAAAAATCCAAAAATAATAGAAATAAGCAATGCATAATAACCATTATTATTAGCATTGTAAGAACAATGGTATCCCTCAACACAGAGAAAAAAACATGGCTAATTTAGCTCACGAAGACCTCACACCTCTTTAGGGGTGTGCATTTTCATCACCAACTTTACTTCTGAATAGTTACTAAAATTACCAAGCAAATATAAATACAAAACCTCAATGTAAATCTCCAATTATAAGCTATTGATGGGAGAATGTAAGCATCTAAGAGGAACTTCATATTTTATAGAAAATATTTGTATTAGAAAACACACATTTTTAGTATCAATGTGACTTAATAGGAGTTAATCTCTAAACAGCTGCTCAAACAAGAGAAAATCCAAGCTACTTTACTAGTCTCTGCGAATACAGAACGTTCTTTGAGGTACACATGCATGTTTTATTTACAAGACATTTAGGAGAGAATTAATGTGTGTCCACTTAGGGGACCAGTCTGTGTTAAATGCTTTATGTACATCTGGTTACCAACCAACTCAGTGGAGTAATAGAATCACAATATTATGATTAAAGTGTAGAGGAGAATGAAGCGTAATTGTTTCGTGAGCGGTGCATAATTTGTATGAATGCTGGGGGATTTTAAATTTTCAGTATCATCTTTAGTTGTCAGTTCCCAGTAGTAATATGGAAATAATTGGCAAGAATTATGTAGTTATGTGCCCACATATATATTTATTCTATATTTAAAACAAATTGAATGAAACATTTGATCAGGGTGAGTTACCTTTCAGCATTATTCTTCCTTCCTTTCTAAGTAATGTTATACTAGTCCGGGCACATGTCACACATCCCTTCCAGATGTGATTGCCTTCTGTGCTTTGACATTGACAGGGGTGCAGAAGGAGTGCTAATTTTTTACTATTTCAGATAATATAGGGAGAACAGCTTTTCTTTTTTAATATACAGTAGGTTTTAACTTTTATTTCTTATTTAGTTCATTTGTGTCCCTCCTAAGTTTCATTCACTGAAAGAATCCAAAGTTCTAGCCTGTTTATCATCTAGCCATAATGAACCCTTCATTTTATATTTTCCTTCCTCCCTACCACAACCACAGGCTTCAGCAATAGTAAGTAATTTGCTCTTCTTTTCTGGGCCTTATCTGCCCCATCTGAAAATAGGCATAAAACAATCCTTTAGAGTTCTGAGAACTCACTGAGATCACATATTTAAAATTCTTAGAAGATGGTAAACAGTTGATTAGTGTTAAACGTTCTTACTGTATTAATTTTGTTATCACATCCCATACTGTCCAAACAAACTTTCTTTGCCTTTGCTATATCTTTTCTTTTCCACAGATCCAAATCAACAGCCTTTGAGATTTATTTAATATGCTTCTTGCTCCCTAAATTCTTGATTTGTACCTTCAGTTGGGGCATCTTCAATCTCTGGGTACTAGAGTGAGTGTTTGTGTGTGAACTTCCAATGAGTAGATAGATGCTTGTTTCATACACTCAATATTTCATGCAGTGTCTTATACCCAGTAGGTTTGTAGTCTTCATTGATTCAAGAGCTTGCAGTTTCAAGTGAAACAAATCTGTTTACCAGGTGACAACATTCTTTCTTAATACTTTAAATGGAATAGGGAAACACTAATATGACATCAGAAAGATATAGCAGATGATGCTTTTAATAACCATTGAAGCAAGTGATTAACAGACTTACTAATTTTAGAAGCTTCGATCAGTCCAGTTTTCTTTAGTCATGCTAGTAGAGCTTGCTTAACTGTCCCCCAAGCACAAAGCTCCAGTTATGGAGAACGAGATTTGCTTTCTTTTTTACATTTGGTTATTTTAAGATCATGCGATTCATTTTGATCCTAATGCAGTACTATTATAATTTTCTTGATCTTGTCTCCAACTATTCTCAACATACACACAATTCCATTTTATGTTAACTCAAAATGCACTGTCAGTTCTGAATATCAGACAAGGAAGAGAGGTTAGAGATCATCTGCTCCTCACCATGATCTTACTGGAGTCTAATATATGGAAAGGTAAAGTCATCTGTCCAAGAAATCTGGTAAGTTGATGCAGAGTTTGGGTGAAATCTTGGTTCCCTTTCTCCTTCCTCAAAGTTATTCTGATTGTTCTACAACACTGTCCCTCACAGAATCTGCCCATCTAGATAATGGGAGTGTTCATTAGTCCAATGTGAATGGTAATTTTGTCCCTGAAATTTCTTCCTCTTCCACTAATTATCTGGTCTGTATCTGAGAACAAAATAATTGATACAAAATAACATCCTATAATTACAGAAAGACTTCAGAAAGAAACTGTGAAGGAATTGATCAGTAGTAGAAAAATATTCAGGGGAGATGGGATTTACTAAATTACGCTCAATAAGTCTCTCTTGGAGCAGAGACTAAGGGTCTGCCTCAGAAAGTAGATGGAATCTTTACACTAAGGAAATGAAATTTTGTCTGGAGAGTGGCCTTCAAAGAAGCTATGTTTCACATCCATGGGTCTTGGGAACAGACACCTCAGTGACCACCTCTGATTCTTTAGTAAGTGAGACTGATGCTTTGATTCCAGATGCTCAGTTTCAAATGCCCTAGAAAGTGTCTTAGTGTAAGGACTATCAGGGAACTGGGAAGCAATACTTGTGTGATAAACTCTCTTCTTTCAGGAACTGTGTCTAGGAAGTAAGACATATTTAATAAAAATTACTATACTCCAGGGCCTCCCTGGTGGGGCAAGGGGTTGAGGCTCAGCACTGTGAAGCTATCTGCAGCCACTGCACAAGTTCGATTCCTGGCCAGGGAGATGACCCACATGGCACAGTAGACCTCTCCTGTCTTGCCCACTGCTCCCCTCAGCAGTTTATTTAGGTAGATCCACCTATTATGCTCCCTGCTCTGTCTCAGGTGAGTCCTCTCACTCCCCACACCTCTAATCTACACCCCAGCACTTGTATGCATAAATAAATAAAATAAATCTTTAAAAAAATTACCGCATTCCTTAATGGAAGCTTGTACAGGAAAGAACAACTCCTGTCATTTTTTCTTTATTATTCTGATAACTGGTTTTTAAATGATTGTTTGGAAGTCTAAGTGGTTTTAATCTGGATGAAATGAATAAATTATAAGTATTGTGGTATAAATACATTCATGTAACATGATAATCTAGGTTAGTTTGAAAGGTGTTAGCAGTCCTCTTTTATATATGAAGAAACTGAGAATCAGAGATTAGGTAACTTGTCGAAGATATCAACAGCTGGTGAGTTGGGGAGCTGGAATAGCTTGTTTGCTTTTCAAATCCACTGCTTCCCTACTGTATCCTCAGGGAAAGAAATAAATAAAAGGAAATTGTAACTTGCTGGACATAGTAAGTACAGGTTAGCTCCAGATTGTCTTTACTTATCTCTTCTATACATAATTTGAATGGGAATTACTATTTTATCATTGACCAACGAGAAATGGACTTAAGGCTCTGTGATTGGAGTTTGATTTTGTGATTTTGTTAGGGACAGTATTTCAAAGAAATATCTGTAATCCTTCTTTTTGCATGTTCAATGTCATACTTCTAGTTTTTTCAGATGAATGAATAAACAAATAAAAAAATTTAAAGCTTCAAGCCATAAGGACTCTTTTTCTCCATGTAATCCCCGCCCCCCCCACCGCCCCCGCTCTCCCCCCCCCCCCCGACCCCCAGCCGCCTCCAACAAGATTCAGCAAAACCAAGTGATGAAATTGAAGACCTTTTGATTCTGGTCTTTAGTTTTCAGTTCTGTTTCATCCACATTTATGGCTGGGTAGTGATCAAGTCTTCTTCACTCTGGTCTTGTATGTACATCCTGTGAAAAAACAGCCTGGACCCAAGATTTGAGATCAGAGAATTTTCCTTAAATTTATAAATGAGGTCAAATCTTACCCAAATAGGCTTTTACGCCACAGCAGCTTATATACCTCTGAAGGTCTCAGAAAAATATTCTAGGTCACATAAGTAGTCATCTCATTCCCATTAGCATCACATGCCTCTGGAATAAGGCCCATTAAGATGGTGAAATTGCTATCTAGATGTTAAATAGTTCTACTAAAATAACCAATATTTAAAAAAAAATAGCATTTAACCCAGAGTTCAAATAGTTAAGAAAGGTAATGCATTCCCAGTTAATTGCTGTCTAATTCTATCTTTCTTGTATCTTTGTAGTTCCAAAAT